CCCCCACTCCCACCTCCCACAGGGACAAAACCGTCTCTGGTTGGGAACTACTGCTGTGAGATCTTAGGTGACAACTAAGTCTCATCTTGTTGGGGCGGATTTAGAAGCCATATCCAGTTTCACAGAATAGTGCATCAGGATTGATGAGCAGGCCGGCCGCAGTGGCTCATGCCTGTAATCCCAGCACTTTGGGAGGCTGAGGTGGGTGGATCACCTGAGGTCAGGGGTTCGAGAGCAACCTGGCCAACATGGTGAAACCCCATCTCTACCAAAAATACAAAAATTAGCAGGGCATAGTGGCGCGTGCCTGTAATCCCAGCTACTCAGGAGGCTGAGGCAGGGGAGTCGCTTGAACCCGGGAGACAGAGGTTGCAGTGAGCCGAGACTGAGCCACTGCACACTCCAACCTGGGCAACAGAGTGAGACTTCAACTCAAAAAAAAAAAAAACAAGCTATTGATTAGCAATGTCTGCCATGAGTGCAGGAGGGAGAGTAACAGTGCAGTGTGCTGGGGTTGATGAATGATGTCTACTGCAGATGCAGAAGGAGAAGTACCGGGCACAGCCTGGGTGGCCCCTTGTAGTTCTCAGCTAGCTGAGGCCCCTGGGGCTCTGGATGCCAGCTGGCCCCTGTCCTTGCCGACTTCTTCCTTCCGGGCTTCTCTTCCCATAGGTGTTCATTGAGGATGTCAGCAGGGAGTTTGTGGAGGAGTTCATCTGGCCGGCCATCCAGTCCAGCGCACTGTATGAGGACCGCTACCTCCTGGGCACCTCTCTCGCCAGGCCTTGCATCGCCCGCAAACAAGTGGAAATCGCCCAGCGGGAGGGGGCCAAGTATGTGTCCCATGGCGCCACAGGAAAGGTGAGGCACCTGGGAAGGGCCGGGCAGAGGGAGATGCGGAGGGGTGTGGGAAGGAGATGAGCACCTCTCGAGCAGTTTCCTGGTGTGCCTCAGGGGCAGACTTGGTGCAAGGCGGCTGCACAACTTTGCTTAGATCCCAGTGAGATGGATAACAGCTCGCCCCTGCGATCCGTGCACTGCGGCACCTGAACGCCCATTCTGAGTCCTCACCTCCACCCGTTGCTGTGGGAGCAATGTCACCCCACTTGGCAGACTTGCTGCTGAGGCCTGGGGACATTGTCCAAGGCTGCACTGACCAAGGTCACTGCGTGAGTCCCCCAGAGGACACACAGGAAAGTGTTGAAAACCCTGAGTTGGCAGAGTGGAGTTCAAAGGCGAGCTCTGCTGCCGGCTCACCGTGTGTCCTCAGCCAGGGCCCTCCGCCACTTCCTGAACCTCGGTTTCTTCATTTGCAAGATGGGGGTCACGCCCTGTCTTAGTTTCCCAGGGCTGGGGTAACAAAATGTCTCAAATTGGTGGCTTAGAGCACAGAACTGTTCTGCCTCAGGGTTCTGGAGCCCTGAGGTCCATAGTGAGGGCGTGGGCAGGGCCACGCAGCCTCTTAGGGTGCCAGGAAGCCTCCGGCTCAGGCCTCTCTCCAGCTTCCGGTGGCCTCTGCTGTCCCTTAGCGTGTGGCTGTGTCACTCCCGTCCTCCGTCTTCCCAAGCTGTCTTCTTCCTGTCTTCGCATCGTCTTCCCTCTGCTTGTCTGTTTACCTTCCCCTTGCTACAGGAACCCCAGTCTTGGATTTCCTGCCTTGGATGAGGCCCTGCAATAACCTCATCTTAACTTGGTTACTTCTTTTTTTCTCTCTCTCTTTTTTTTTTTTTTT